TTTTTTTTTTTTTTTTTTTTTTTTTCATACTAATTTTAGCTTATTTTCATCGATGAAAAAAAAATAAAGGAAATATTCTGAACGAGTGTCGTGTTATGTTAATAATAAACATGATACTAAGGTAATAGAAAAAACAAGAAGAAGAAAAGAATTGATCAAACGGTGCTTGAAAATTAGGTCATAGGTCACCCAGGCAACCCCTCGATGTGACGTATCAGTTTCTTTAATTCCGGAGGATTAGAATGTCACGAAATTGGAAATATTATCAAGCTGCATTAGACATGATCGAAATTCCTTTATAAAAAGCTTTACATGTGTGTATTAGTTGTTATATTCTACGAATTGTAGAAGAAATTTATTTTCTTGTTCTCGATAGTAACATGGATATGATACAAAATTGTAATCTCCAACTTATGTAGAAATCTTAAGAAGGATAAAAATGAGACAATTCTAACACGTATTTCATTTTATCACATTGGAAATAAATGATTAACAAGAAAGAAACATGGAAACAATAACAAGATAATGCTCGTTGTACTTTGTAAAGGAGTAATAAAAAAAAAAAAATGATTACGAAGAGAAGTATTATGACTATGTTAGTCATATTAGAATTTTTCCCAACGAAAAATTGATTGATTTCGATCTAATAAACTTATATTACAAATTTCACATATATCAAATTATATTTGCCAATTCGATAGTTATGAATTTTTCACGAAAGAAAAGGAGAATAAATAAAAGGGTCTCTTCTTTTTTCCTTTCTTTTTTTCAACCATAAAAAACAAAGTTAGATTCATTCATTTATGGCTTATATATTTCTTATCCGAATCTTTCTTATGTTAGGGGAAAATTTAAAATATCTATCTCGCTTATTCTCTCAAGTATACCTTCGGGAGCAATGTCGTCTCATAAATAAAAGGAAAAATGTTCCTCCTAAAGAAATAGAGCGAAAAAGAGAAAGATAAAGTGAGAGAGAGAGAAAACAGAAGGGAGATGAAGTTTCTCAGATATAAAACAGAAACAGCCCTCAAGTTAATCTATATATCTTTCTACTACGATCCCTGTTGGTTGCCATCTTTGATACATCATTTTCTTTTAGAATTATTGCTTTTGCGTGAACAACATTCATATCGTTCGGATATTAAGCACGTATTATCAATAAATAGCATCGTAAAGAAAAGTTTATGTAGTTTTTTTTTTTTAAATGAACGTACATTTATTTCAACATTTCAGCATGGCGATGATATTCAGTTCGAAATTTTAATCTGAAAACATACCAAATTAAAATTGTATTAGGTTTAAAGTATGTTAATAGATATTCAGTGTTTAACCAAATATATATACATACGTTTATGCAATTCTAAATATTAATAGAGTAAATTAGACTGCAGCATAGTGATAATATTCATTTCAAAGTTTTTATCTGAAAACGTATCAAATTAAAACTAAATTACATTTAAAGTATATTAACAGGTATGTGATGTTTAAACAAATGTATATACGTTTAAATAATCTTAAATATGAGTAGAGTGCATTAGAATATTAAAATAATTGTTAATTAATCGAAAGAAATATCTATTGTTGTCTAAAAGCTCGAAGTATATGATCTATGTGCCGTCCTCCTCGAAATTCAACTTGAGACTGGCACGTTGACACTTATGAAATTTCTTTTATTCAAAATTGTTTATATGACTTTCCGAACGTTGCGCATGTGTATAAAAGGAATAATGCACCTAATGAATAAAATTTAAGATTATAACATTCTGATTTTAGTTATTTTTTTTCATTTTTATATAATTATTTCAACGCTCCTGCGCAGTGATGATTTCGAGGATAAAATTTTCCTGTAATATAAATAAAGTGCATTAGAGTGCACTTATTTTAATTACAGGAAATTAATTATTTTAATACTATAATGCACTCTCTACTTATATTAGACGAAAATGATAGAATACTTTAATTTTTTATTCTATCAATATTTAGGATTAATGCGTTTGTTTTAACGTTCCTGCACATAACAGTGGTGATTACGTGTTGAATATTTTCATTTTATAACATATAGAAATTGTTTAATATTCGAATTATATTAATAGGAAAGAGAAAAGAAAAAAGGATACGTTATCTTATATCTAATCGTAGAAATTAGATTTGAATTAAAAATCAATGAACAGATCAATATTATCAGATAATGTTATTCTCAAGAGTACAATAAGGATGATTGTATTCACTATCACGATATTATACATACATATATAGTGTAACAATTAAGGGTATGTAGTATCTATAAACAGATCAACTATACACATCCAACATACTTTTTTTACACGGTAGATACATTTCTTGAAATACCGTACAGAAAAAAGATACGTTTATTTTTAATAAATACGTTCCATGTTATTATGGAACACGGTGTAAGATAAGATAAATAATTAAATTGAATCCGGAAAACCGTATAAAACATATCATAAAAACATAAACTGCATAAATTTTGATATATGCATTGAATTCGAACTTCACCAGAGAAACCAATATTACATATATGTATATAACGAATCGAACGGATAGGAGGAAAATTAATTTAAAATCGTATAAGAGGAAATAAATCATAAAAAAAAAAACAAAAAAAGTGAGCGATGTTTTTCTTAAACCGTGTTATTTTAAAATCGTTAAAAAAGAGAAGAATTGCGTGTATAATGTTGTTCAATGATTATTCAGCAAAAGAAAATGAATATTTTTTTAGTTATTATCTCGTTTCATTCTCGGAACATGAATGACTTGATCCTAGCAGAAGGCACGTTTATGTTTCTGTACACATATATACGATATTATTCATATATAATATAGAGAATATAAACATATATATGTGTGTAGAATATCTGCTGGCAGCGAATTAACAGCATCGAAAGAGTGTCACATGTGCCAACAGTCTAGCTAGTGGTGGGAAAGACAAGAGAGAGAGAGAGAGAGAGAAAAAAAGTATAAAAGTTCATTTCTAAGCGTAGAAGAATTTATTCCAAGTTCGTTAACGAACGTATCAAGAACTGGTTTATTATAACATAAATTAACAGAAGAAAAAATTTAATAACATTCAGAAGATGCCTACTTGTAAGTGTGAGAATGTTACTAAGGAGGAGAAAGATAATGGTCACAAGTGTCAAATCAAGTCATCTGTTGATGCAGAGGATTACGAATTTGATCATTTCCTGACCGACAATACTGTTAGGTAGGCTTTTTTATTATTTCTCTTTTCGTAAATATATACATACATAAATAATTATTTACGTAAAATATATACTCTAACATTTAATTAATAATTTATATATA